GCTCTAATGTACCGAAGGCTTTATGTAAACGATGGCTCTGATTGTTCAAGATTTTGTTCATTTGCTGGTGCTGTTGCCGTTGCCATTATCCGTGGTGGAGTAAAGGTAATCGGAAGTGCATTGTGGTCGCCTTCGTTGGTTATTTTTTTTAATGAATCACATATTGGTCTTATTGAAGTGGAAACATTTTGAATCTTAGACCAGTTTTGGGCCCATTCTTTGTGTCGCGATTCGTTACCACAGAAGATGTAAATAGAATCTAATTGTGGCATATCATGAATCTGTGGCACAAGATGCTGACCTAAAGAACCAGAAGCGATGACGCAAACTCTCTTGTTATTCATATCATTAAGAATTTCAATGCATTTTGTCGACGTCTTGCAGAACTTAATCTCTTTGACGACATTACGTAATTGCTCGAGCGTATTTTGACAATCTTTATTTGGTTCATCAATACTACCATCGACCCAAATAACGACATAATTTTGAACCATGCGCCGTTTTATTCGAATATCAGTCAATGGTGCTGTTGAAGTTGCAAAGGCACCCTTTGTTGCTATGGAAATTTTATGTTTTGATTGTTTTTCGCCCATACTGACTGCGAATTATTGTTTTCTCACTAATCTAGAATGATGAATAATTTTTGTCGTCAAAGTAGAGACGACCTTTTCTATTTATAGAGTCGATGCTTTTTGTCTTTTCTAGATTTTTTTTTATGACTTTAAACACGGGTGTAGTGTGCTTTTGTTGATACCCAATGATGAACTCTACCTGATTTAAATTAAAAATATAGTTGTGAACAACGAACAAGGTGATAAAAATTATACAACATTGTCCATTGTACTATGATTCTTTTCGAACTATTTTTTTTTATTTTCATCTTCACAATGACTTGAATGTCATCGTATTGGATAGTGTGTATGAGTTGGTGGCAGGGTAGATGAAGGGAAGATATACAACAAGATCTACATTCTATCATTGTAACTGGTATTTTAAAGGTTACTTTCAAAACAACTTGGAAAGTTGGCTCTTTTCGGCATGCTTAATATTCTAGCTAAACTTTTGTCTTTTAATTTCTTTCGAAGTTTTTGATTCATTCCTACTATAGAGTTGTATGGAGATCTTTTGAAAATATTGAAACTCTTATTCTTTCTACCGTACTTCCTCCCTTACAAGGCGATTGTTAAAGATTGCCGCGTTCCACAAATGGATTTGAAAATAATACAAAACTCAGAAGCACAAATCAAACTTCAAAATATTCTGTTTCGAAATATCATACACTAAAGATGCTAGAGCAGCAGATATTTCTGAAAAGCTCTTCCTAGAAGGAAACTCAGGCCATCCTGATGTCGCTCATATTACTACCCCAATTGATTCCATTTACAACTAAAATTTATGAACAAGACTACAGCAGCCCGATATTATCGACGTAAATGTTTTTTATGAGGCTTTTTCTTACTCTTGCTAACTTTGAAGAGATTCTTTTCTAGAAAAAGATGAACATGTCAATGGATGAAATTTATCCGACCATTCCATTCCTTGACTGCTGCTCATACAGAAAAATAAATAGGCTGTCTTTTGTAAAAAATCACCACTATATCTAGCATTTAAAAAACTGTGAAGCGTTCTCAGTTTTATAAACCAAAATACAATGTGTCGCACTTATGTGTCATGAGCTTCAGCACAAAAATATGCCGCGGTCAGAATGTGTCGTATACAAATTTATTGCGTTCTGTCTGCTGATTATTCATTCCCCATTTTGTTATGCACACACAGCTATATATAAACAACATGATTGAATATAACAAATATTCATTTTTAAAATAATTTTTTTCTGGACTATTTCTCGGCTATTGTTTAGTCGAGCACATACCGATCTCGAACGAGGACTACTCTGAAGTGGTCTGATGGAGATCGGGCCAATTCAAGGCAGGACAGATCCCAACATCTGGCCTGTTCAAGTTTTCAGAATCGGAATAATTAAATGAAATCAAATTGAAAAAAATGTCATGATATGCTTTTACAGAAAAAAAGATGAAAAATGTGCCGGATGATAGATTCGAACCACACTTTCAGAATGTGTTGTGCTCTTGCTGGATAAAATGTGTCTCAACAAGCATCTCCTGTCATACTTTAATGTGTCGTGTATTGTGTCGCAAATCACGACACATGCGACGCATTTTATCTTAGTGTGTATGAATGAAAATCTTTGGTATGATGTTTAAATTTTAGATTGTGATTAAGTTTACCGAAATTCAAAATTTTTTTTTTTCGTGATTCCACCTCATTATAATGCTTCTACTCGATGCTCTTGAATTTGCTGCTCTGTTAGCTCTCGAAGAGTGAGACTCATGTCATCTACCCCTATAGTTCTCGGTGAAACATAAGCATTGTGAAAGTTATTCTGTTTAACATCGTTTGTGATATGATTATTCTAAATGTAAGACCTATTTCAAACAAGATTATCAATGACATATTGTGAACATCCTCAATCGAAGTTTTCTTGAAATTATTTTCTAGTTATTAAAATGCCTGATTTTCAAACTATGTCGTTTTTATTCTTTACAGATATCCCTGACATTCAGTTTTAATTTGTCACTACTCTAATAATGTTTGAAAAATCAAACATACTTATGTAGTAAGTGATATTGGAGTGCACAGTTTTTTTTTCTTGCTTGCAACCGATTTTGCTTCGTATGTATCGTTGACAAAATTTCTCGATTTTTTCCGACGTATTACATTTATTTATGTGAATCAATGAAGCATAATTTTCTTATCAAGTAGGTAGTTATTTTTTCATGAATGCGTTCATTATCACATGTGTTTCGTTCTTCGAATATTCTTTGTCTTTTCTTTTACCTTGCTTTGTGTTATTATGGTAGAAAAATATACAGGCATATTTGCACACACGAGCACATCATATATACATTTTGAAATTTCTTCTTCATGAGTCAACGAACCAATAGTCTTTTTATTTCATAAAAGCTTTGTTGGTTAGAAGAATCGATCGACGGAATTTTAATTCTGCAATTTAATAGCAGATAATCATTGCTGTTGTCCAAATAAAATATGTGAAACAGCATTAAAATGGCTTAGTGTTTTAAATCAATTGTAGGAACAGACTGTGAAAAACAAAGACATCTCATCGCCCGGCGAATTCATCTCGCTAGACATTGTCACTTTTAGAAACTGCTTATTGCTCGCACGGGGTACGCTCGGGTCATCGTTCAACAATGGGTTGAAGCTGAGTGGTTGTGTCGATCTTCGGCTCAAAACTCGTCCACAACGATGAATTCATGCTTAATATATCGTCTTTGGTTCATTACGACCAAATTATTGGTGTGAATGCGGATATGGATATGAGTTCGGCTATTCAAATATCAGTCTCCTTCTGAACCACAACAATATGCACATATATACAGGTAGTCAAAAACGTATCCGGACACCCCCATATTTTTTCGTATTTCTTGGCTTGTGAAGCAGAAACAAGAGATACACTTTTTCGTTTTTTACCAGTAGACAGTCCCTGTTTTATGCAGCTTTTGACAGACTTTCTAACGGTATAGTTGAAGATAAATTTTGATGAAAAATTCATTGTGATCTTTTATTCGCAATGTCGTATTAAGCATGTTCAAGAATATGATTTCTTTTGAAATAGTTCATATTGTGAAAATTAACTTTTTTCATTGAAATATTATGCCCACAGATAGAGCTAGCTTTGCTCGTTCTAGCGATGTGCAAATAATATAATTGTGATGTCCGAGAAGCGAGCACCTAACATATGGGAAAATCGGACATTTCAATGAGAAATGCTCTCGTAATTCAAGATAATAATCAAAATTGTTTATTTATATAGAGACTCTAGTATGAAGTGAGGACTATCCACTGACGAAAAAAGAAAAATAATATCTCTTATTTCCACTTCGAAAATCAAGATATATAATTGTCTGGATACTTTTTGGACTATCGGTATATATATATCAACAATAAAATCAGATTATGAGGGTGCAGTCGATAACTTTTTGTTCATATTCAACCAGATCTCAGTCAGAACGAGTATCTTTTGACAAAAAATCGTGCTATCTAACTGCAAGTGATTCATAACGTTGCCCTAATTCTCATGCAACCGAAAGACCAAATATCATTTATATGTTTCTGATTTGTTGAATTCTTCTAGTTCGTGCTAATATTAGAGCATAGATGTTTCACGTTATGCATGTAACCTGACTCCCTTAATTTGCACAGAATTTCTTGGATTCTATGATAATCTGAATTTACAGACTTTTAATTTGTATGTATATCTTGATTTCTTAAGAAGTTTTTTTTATTTTAATTGTGGATTTTTGGATCGTTGATATGACGCTATATTCTGTCACCTTTCTTAATAGATACGAAACAGATTGGAGAACAATAAGAAACAGCCTATGAGATGAACAAACAATAAAATAAAGAAACAATATTTACTTTTATTCAATAGAACAAGTATTCCTGTTTCTAGGGATTTATATTTCATATGTGAATTCAGTAAAAAATAGAAGTGACCAGTACACATTTAAAAACAGTTTATTAAATTTAACTTCCACATATACATAAATGTTTCTAATGGTAGCAAAGGATGGCTGAGGCGAGTTATGTGGATATACTATTACTCTCATTTTAATTAGGGTAAATGTTTCTTGTGTTGATGGACTATACAGGTCAACTTATCCCAAACAAGATGTAGACGAAAGAAATCATCTTTCTTTTCTGTAGTAAGAATTAAAAAACAACACCATCATTCAAGTATATATTTCATATCTTTGCCAAAACAAACGTTTTTCGTATGAGAAAGAGTGGTTGATGATATCGGCATTGATTGATGACCGCATGATTATATTGAAGTTTTTTTGAAAGTGCAAATGACAAGAGCAAAAGATTTTAACAAAGAAGTTCATTGACAACGAATAGAAAAAGTTTATCCATATACAATGGATGTCAAAAGTCTCGCACCACTTTTTTGTTTTGGTTCGCATTTCAAAAATACACGACATAGATTCAAATTTATTTTTACCCTCGGATAGCGGGGCTCGAGTACTATATGTATGCATACATTTGAAATGAAGAATCCTTGAATCGAAAACACACATGTAAAAAAAACAAACTTCAGTACTACGACAAAAATTACTCAAAAAAACACAAAATGGTACGATTGTTATCAGTTATAGAAGTTTCACTAAGATTGAAATAATACGAAAATCGAGTCAGATTTTGTTTGATATTTTTATATGAGTCGATAGATCTCAACGAGCTCTACAAAATTGTCTATATTAAATTTTTTTAGAACCGTTTTTTGTCACAAAAAGATTACAAAATAATCTCATGTTTTATATGTTCTATATGAAAAGTTGAGAATTTTTTTTATACCAGAAAAGCATAAAAATACAATTTTATTGCAACTTTTTGTCCCAGAAAAGAGTTCTAAAAAATTTTAATATAGACAGTTTTGTAGAGCTCGTTGAGATCTATCGACTCATGTAAAAATATCAAACAAAATCTTACTCGATTTTCGTATTATTCCAATCCTAGTGAAACTTCTATAACTGATAACTATCGT